ATTTGGAATACATATGACTTATCTTTGCTAGCCAAGTTGTGAAAGTTTCCGACCGTGTCGTAACCCCGGAAGCTAGTGAAGAGACGACCAAAGACCGATAGTTGCAACAAGCTAGTGTATATTCAAAATGAGGAACGGTTTGATCAGCTGCCCCGAGATGGCCGAGTGGGTGGTATGCTTGCGTTCTGTCTGTGAGGTACCGCGTTCGATCCCCGGTCGGGTCGATGGATTCACACTGCTGATGAGACCCAATTAATTCGAAACAGCTGTACAGTGCTTCCCAGCTATTCAGCTCACTCCACATCTACACGATAAACCCATCATATAAACAAATCAAATTTTCCATTACACTCATGTCACACTGAAATTTCGAGATCTCCTGTTTCTTTCAGTAATATATTTCAAAAAGGAGACCACAGCTAAAATAAAAACTCCAAATATGCAGAGTTGCTGTGGTTATTATTGTGTACAACGACAATTTTGCGTCCAGCACCAAGGGAGAGAGAGAGAGAGAGATAAAGGTACGCACTTTCCGCTCGAAGATCACGGGGATCGTCAGATTTGGTGCATTACGCGAAAACTCAAATTTGACGCTGAGAAACAAACGACCACTAGTTCGTTTGGCTTCCTCGACAGCTCTCGCAGCATCCGGGATCGTGTATCGGTCAAGCGGTGTTTCAAACAGCTCATTTCGCATATGTTTTCGATTAATCTGAGATACATAGGGAGTACATAAATGGGAGTAATGGTAAAACAGCAGGGAGAAAAAGGCAGCATTTTCAGTTTCTACAACCATTAAAAAGCGCTTTCACGCACCGATTTTGGTGGCTCATCTCTCACAACCGACTAACCTTATCCATTAAAAAAAACGGACGCAAGAATGCAATGTTACGAGCAGAGTCAAAAACATCAACTAAGATTTCAGGTTCAGTTCAGTTCTTACAACCACTAACCATGCACTTTCGTGCGCCGGTTTTGGTCGCTGTCTTTTGGTTGATAGCAGATTCAAGCGGAAGACAATGCATTTACATAGACTAACGTT